GCTTGGGCCCGCCGTGGACAGAGGCTGTTTCGCGGCAGCCTCCCTTGCCACCTTCCCCTCCCTGCACAGAAGTGGGGGTGGGGAGTGGTCAGCTGGCACTGTGGAGACAGTGCCAGGGGGAAATGGCTTTTAAGCTGGCTCCCCTGAGCACCAGCTCCTGCTCCCTCCCCCCCTTTCTGCCTCTGATAAAGGGTATGGCTACACTGCAGCTTTTCTCGATCCTTTTGTTGGAAGAGGCTTTTCTGATATTTGGGCCATCTAGACAGTGGAACGAGGAATACAGGGGCTTCCGAAAAAGTGTGTTTACTCTTCTGGAAAAAAAAATGGAAGAGCAAATTCGTCCCTGGAATTTGTAATCTAACCATACTCACAGAGGCAGAGGATGGGTGGGTGGGAAATGCGTGTAGTCAAGCTTATCGGTTAATTGTGTAGTCAACTACACGTTGATATCCCTAATAGACACACATATATATTGCACAGTCCTGAAACATAAATACAATATAAAAGTAATTCAGCCCACTTAGAGCTGAAAAATGCATTTGACTTAAAGGATATATTAGTGACTCCAGTGCAAAATAATTAGATCATGCTTCTTGGATTCACCGCCACAAGTTATAACGTCCAATAATGACTAATGTGAACAATAGATACTGAATCACTCAGATTTTTTAGTAACCTCTGTGCACTATGAAACTACAGCTTTTATTGTTCTATTCAGATGACTTAATTCCTGAAACTACAATAGGAACTCTCTACCCAAAAGTAACTGAGGGGAAGATTATCTACAGGCACCAGGAAATTACATATGCAAAATTTAAATGGTACTGGAGATGTGGTTTTTATGCCTGTGTAGTTTCACATTTTAAGTACTATCATAGTCAGTATCATTAAGGGCTAACTATTCTTCCTGTTCCCTCTCTCTATATTTTTATCTTTGTTTTTTTTTCTTTTGTCTTTTGTTTTCATTTGTTTCCATTGTTTGCCATAAAAAATGCATTTATAGGAGTTTATCAAACTTTTGGGGGTAAGGGTCAGGCAGGAAACAAATTACTAACCATGATCTACACAACTCTCATAAGTCAGTTCTTATGCAGTTTACTCTAACGAGAAAGACTTTCCAGGCTGGATAAGTAAATGGCTTTTAGATCCTAGAAGACCTACGGATTTTACCTCATAGCTAAATGATAGGCCACAGTTTTCTTCCCTTTTACTTCAAAGTTCATGTACTTTATCATTTCGTGTTTCAGGGATAATACTTAGATTAAAATAGAGCTGGTTGAAAAAATTATGATGTAATGTTTTTCTTTTGGAAAGTACTGATTTGACAAAATCAAAACATTTCATGGAAGGGCATCTATTTTGTTGAAATTTTTTATAGGAAATTACTGAAACATTTTATAAGGATGAAACAATCCATTCAGACATCATCATTTTGATAACAAATAATTACTAAAATCTTTCAACTTTTATAATAGTAAACAATTATGAATGTTAAAACTATACATTTGAAACAAAACAATTTGACCTCATTGAAATGAAAGGCTTTAATCAAGTGAAATGAAATACTTAGTTTCACAAAATAATTCCAAGATTTCTACTTTTTTGTCCCAATTCAGGATGAAGCAAAATTTCAAAATCTTTTCCCATGGGATAGGAATTACATTTTCCAATCAGCTCTTATTTGAACCACTGAAGTCAATGAAAAAAATACCAATTCACAACAGCTAAGGCTCAGATCAGCTGTATCTTATCAGGAGAAGTGCCCTTTTTCACTGAATGGTTTTTAGTTCCCTATCCTGCACCACCCAGAAATTGCCTAACGCCTCTGTAAAAGATCTGGGAAATATCCAAGAAGAGTAGCTTTCCTTTGATGGCTTTTTTAGGTTAAGGATTAAAATGACATTTTTAATTTTCATGAATGGGGGCTATGGCCAGGACTAGTTCTAGGGGTGGGCATGGAGGGTGGTTTCCTGGGTGCCAACTTCCAGGAGTGTTGAAATGCTGTACTTGTTTCCCCCACTCCGCCCCCGATCTTGATTGACTGGCTATGTTTTCTCCTACTTTCAGCTGCTATGAGAGAGCATGCTCCAAACCATTTTCTTTCTTGGCTGGCAAAATGGCTAGGGCTGTCACTGTCTCTACACCTGTTCAGACTCACAAGGCTCAGTGTTATAGGAATATAAATAGGGAAGGAGGCCAGGCCTGAGTTACATATCATCATTCAACTCCCTTTACTTTCAGCAACTGTTAGGCCTTTAGCTTTCATAGATAATCTTACGTATTGTGTTCAATAGCACACAACAACCTTCTCTGCCACTTTAAGCACCTATGAGAATTTCCCTCATATTAGTACTTATCTCCAGATTTTGTCAGGAAAATACCACCTCAGCTATGGAACAAGAGGGATGAGAAACTAATCTGACATACTGAAAGTCTGAGATTTGAGGGTTCGTTATTTTTTGGAAAATAGAACCACTTGACAGCATGCCTTATTATAAATCACTGTTGTATTAAAAGTAATGCTGTGCAGCTGCACACACGAAGAAAAAACTACAATGGTTTCAGTTATTTAAGTACCTTTAAGATCGTAAGGTAAATATGGAATAGAGGTCAGTGTTAACAATTTCTCCTGCAAGCGTTTTTAGATATATAGATATGATCACAATTTTGTGATCAACCAATGACAAAGGACACCAAATTACACAAGTGA